CCCCAAAACCCCAAAACCCCAAAACCCCAAAACCCCAAAACCCCAAAACCCCAAAACCCCAGAAAAGCTAGAAATTTGATGAAATTATTCTTAGAAATGGTATGCCGATAGTACATTGCAAGCTCCTCATTTCTAACTTGGATTGCCATATCTCTTCTGGATTGTGATTACGGGCTCACTAGATTCTTGGCTCTCAATTTCTAAAATGTTAGATCATAAACTATCAAGCTCTTACCATTAGAATCATCTTGAGAGTTTAATTCAGAATTATTTTTAAGTAGTTCTTTAGAAGCATTCCTCATAAAATTAAATAAATGCTGGGGAATATTTTTCATGTCTTCATCATTCTCGAGATTTGGGACTTCTTTTGGCTGCTCAATGTTGCTCCTGAAATTACTATAAGTAGACAGGTTGATCTTTTGGGACTTCTTTGGCATTTCAAAGTTGCTTGCTCTATTAGAAGACATATATGATACACCATTGACCTTTCCCATAGTTCCAGGCCTTCTCACACTTCTTGATTTCAAGTTCTCTAGCTTCCTTCTTGACTTGAGGGAGGGAGAATTAGGAGTTGACAAAAAATTGAGGTCCTTTGTTCTCACTGGATCAATAAAATTCAAGAATTTGTCCTTGAACACTTTTGAAATTTCAGAAGTATTATTCATATCAGTTCTATCGATTTTATTTGGTATATTCTATCTTCATTGATTTCGGCACTTTACTTCGGTTTCGATATCTCCGAGAGGCAGCATTACGGAAGCAAGGATGCCTTACTTTCTTACCTCAGAAACTTCCCTTAGAAATCGGCCTTTTAGTGGAACTATGCTCTTTATTTCTTTGGAAAATAAAAATGATCATTAGTAGCTAAAGGATTATGAGGCGTTGTCTTCTCAAATCGGATATCATGGTGTGTGGAAGATAGACTGAAGTTGCCAGGAGCCTTCTGCAGAAGATTCTCTCTGAAATGAAACATTCCTATTATTTCTTCTTCTACCTTTCCAATTGGAGGGTGAATATCTTGAATATTTTGAGCAATATTTTCTTCGTTAAGGCTGTATTGAAACCCATTCGAGTTTAGTTTAGTATTAACAACGCTTTTCGTCTTGATGTCATGAAGGGAGGACAAGATCTTTTCCTTAGCAATCATGAATTTAAAGATATCTTCTCGAGCATCATACTTATTAACAGTAGGTTTATTCCTCCTCTCGTTATTATAAAGTAATGAGTCAATAAACTTCAAATTTTCTTCTTGTTTATTTAATTTCTTGAACTTTCTTGTCCTCCATAGCCTTACCTCAAGATCTCTCCTGGCTCAAATTCTGCCCACCCAGCCTAAATCCAGCCTTCTAAACCCAATAAAAATGAGCTTACTCTCCTCAGAAGCCTGGAAGGTGCAAAACGAGGGCAATTACCTCCCTCAAACCCCTTATTTCTAGTCTGTTTTGGTTTCAAAAACATCTAATGTTCAATATTTTTATAAAAATATGGGGTTTTGGGGTTTTGGGGTTTTGGGGTTTTGGGGTTTTGGGGTTTTGGGG